CTTAGAAAAGGACGGGGAAGGATAAAGGAGGACAGGGGGAGAGGGATTAAGTCATTTGAGAGTGTTTGCTTGTCTGGCTATGGTCTCATGGCTCTGTGGTTTGGCTGTAGTCCCTGTCTACTGCAGAGACTAGCCCCTTAAAACAGCTCTTTCTGTCAGCAGATACAGCAACAAGGCTGCCATCTAGAGGCAGCGCACTCCTGCAAATGACGACCTTCACGAGTTATTGTTGTGCATATTGTGCGATGCTTTCATTTACTATACATTAGCACATACATAAAAAAATATGCGATGACTGCTCTAATGGGTATTTATTAGTGTGTCTGTTCTAATTAATGTCAAATAAACTCTGGATGTCTCTTCAGGAATTCAGCCTTTTTTGTATGAGTGATATGAGGCTTCTCTGTTTGTTTGTAGTGTTATGCGGGACCCCGCCTGCGGTGGAGAATGCCCATTTGATAGGTCGGAGGAGATCACATTATGATATCCATTCAGTGGTGCGCTACCAGTGCTCTGAAGGCTTCTACCAGCGCCACATCCCCACCGCACGCTGCCGGGCCGATGGGAGCTGGGAGCGACCAAGGATCATCTGCACAAAGTGTGAGTGGTCGCTTTAAACTGAAAGCATCATGTATGAGGAGAAAAAATTTTTTTCCCCACATGCAGGCTGAGTAGAAGTTGAGATGTGAAACTCCTTTTTACTTTTTTATTATACCATAACATTGCAGCATTGTAGTGACTTTGGAGCTCTATAATAGTGACTGTGCCACCAATACAAGTTTTTTATTGATTATTTTCACGCCTTGCTCCTCACTTACAAATTCAGACGGTTCTGCCAGGTTGTTGTTTTATTGAGTCACTTTTGTCATTAGTTTCTGAACTGGTTGGGCAAATTTCTTGAATCAATTTTGTAATTCAGATTGATTTATATGCATATATGCACACAAATGAGTTTAACACATTGAAAACCTTTAATGCAGGTGTCAGACACATTAGTGTAACTACAAAGGCAAGCCCATTTGATGGTGAGCAAAACGCAGTGGTTAGATTCACAGTGGACACCTTATCAAAACTTTTACCATATACATCAGTATATCAAAGTAATGAAACATCTTCTCACACACGTCTGTTTGGTCACAGTTTCTTGTTGAATGCATATCTCTGTATGTCTTGACTGTCCTCTGCACTTTTACGTTTTCCTATATCGCATCATTTTTCTCCCGCTTCACATCCTTACTCCCCTCCCAGCGGTACGCTTCCGTCCTTATTCGTGTCTGAGCAGAGTGCTCCATGCTCACAAATCATGTCTGTGGCACTCTATAAACGCTATAAATGTGTGTGACAATACTCATAATGCCTGTGATCGTATTTTGGCAAGTAGAGCCCGTAAATGATGACTTCATTCATAGTTGTGAGACAGAGAAAGAAGATTCATTGTTAAAGTCTGAAAAGAAATGTTCTCTTTCTGTTGTGCACAAGGACACTAAGTCAAAGCAACTGTAAAGATCTTGGATGTAAATATGACCTCACAGACGCGCGCACACACACACACACACACACACACACACACACACACACACACACACACACACACACACACATAACAACGCAGTAAAATATGATTCATTTAAAATCAGTGAAATTACAATCCAAGCAGCTCCTTGAAGATTTCATCAAACCCGATAATTAGCATCAACCAACCTCAGAGCTTTAAGTCTGTTAAGGATCATTTATTAACTCTTTCCCATCTTAACAAAGGTGACTCACTAATAAATAATGTATCAGCTCATATTAGGCTTTTGTGTAGCATTGAAGAGTCAGCTGATTAGCGATGGGAACCTTCAGCAAGGAAATATATTTTGAGTATTTGAGTATTTATGGTTCAACTACACACTTAAGCTTCTTTCAGAGCAGATCGTTTAAGAGTAAGAAAATAAATGCAGAGATTTAGCCAGTGAATATGGGATTTTTGTGTACAGTGCAGTAATTGTGCACAGTGACAAGTGTGTTGTTCATCTACTGCAGCTCATATACAACGTGTCACCATTTCCTCCCCTCTGCAGCTCGACGACTGCACCGGTACCGACGCCATCACCGCAACCAGCGCCACGACCGCCACGGCCACAGGAGACACGGAGGAGAGGGACACAAGGCCAGAGAGGACGCACACAGCTACTACTGAACCAAATAATACAACATCCACAATGCCTAGGTGCTAACCATGGCCCATAAGGAAAGACAGTAGATCACAGCAATTTCCATTTGCCCTTCCTGCTTCTAACCACTAACCGTGCTCTCTGCTTAGCTTTACTCCCCCAGTGAATAAGATTATCCCCATAATCTAACCTCCATGCTTTTTGATGCTTCTTTTTATTTTCTCTCTGCTTTCTTTAACCGAGGTCCATGCGAACACTGACTTTAGCACCGCCCTAACATCCGCCCTCCCAAACAGTAACTCCTCCACTCGTCTGCAAACTATAACCTTCTCTTGGTCTGTCAGCCTGACAGCAGTGTGTGAACGTATGCATGTAAGACAGAAACTTAGAGGAGTGCCAAGTCACTTTTTTGGAAAGGTTTGCTTGTTCTACATGAAAAAAGTAACTCATTTTAGTATTCTGTTTACAAAGCACAGATGTAATTGATGCAAGATAGTCCTGGTATCCCAGCTTTTTGTACGTGTACTGTAGCTGTTACTTTTCCATAGAGCACCTGAATAGCTGGTCTCTTTTATTCGACTGACGTGCTTTTTTTCTAATATCTGTTTGTGTAATGTTACTATTTATTATGAATCATTTGCTAGTGAACATGCTTGTTTTCTTACTTATCCTTTAGAAAGCTGACGTAACACCATTTTTCTATACCAATATGTAAGTCCAACAATCAGTCGATAACAAAATTAATCATTTGATTGCCTCTAATCTCTGTACTGTAAATATTGTGACGTGTGTTATTGGCTCAAACCTGATCAATAGCTGGACCTTGTCCAATCCGATAGACTCCCCAATCCCCATAAGCACTCTCAGCTAATGTATACGTCCCATTGACATAGTTAGTGTGGGTGGGATTACAGAATAATTTGAGATAACCACTTGATTGTACCTAATTTGCACGGCCATATTTACACGATGTGTAGAATGTCACTCTTTTTTTGTCTCTTGTCTCTTTGATATTTGATCTGTTATCCACTTTTTTTGGTGTTATGACTTTTTGTCCTGCTGTTGTACTCCATTCTTAATAAAGCGAACAAAATGGACAAAAGTTCTGCTTTTCATTCATGCTATCAGCTGTTTTCACTTTCAAACGCAGCGTAGTTTTGCCACGAGGTCATGCTCGACCCAGAACCTGATCAGATCAGTTAATCTGAGTCGGGGTTTTTCCCCCTACTGTTATCTCTCTATTTTGTTTTAGCTCCATAGTGTAGTGCGAGCTAAACCTCAGTTCCAGCTAGAGACAAAAATGCCCTGTGGGGTTAAACTAAGAAGAGCATCTGGTGTAAAACTTTGGAGCTACTCGCTGTGGTGACCCCTTGCGGCAAGGGATCATCTGACTGTAGCATCTGGATTTTGTCAATAAGAAGTTCTTAATGGTTATTTTAGGTAATAGATAAACTGAGGAGCAACATCAGGACTCAGTATAAGATGAATACAGATCATTTCAAGTGAATTATGGATGCTATTGAGTTGAAAATTATCATAGGTTTTTCACTTTAAAATACTTTAGTCTGGGTAAAGTTACAGAATCCTGCAAGCTGCTTTGCAACCCACCTTCACAACAGCTCCCTGTCATGCTACATCTGACTTAAAGTGCCTGTTCTCTTCTGTACAGTGCTTTTGTTGATGCTCTACTCACCTGAAGCAGCAAAATATCTTCTTTTGCAAAGGTGGACCTGATTAAAGTACACCTCCAGGAGCAATTTAGCTTTTGAAACACATACTATGAAGTGCCCAGCGGGAAGTTTTTGGCGCGAGGTTGATGCTAGCGGAGGTTTGGAGCTCTGCAGTTATTGATTCAGCAGAGCATGAAGACTTTTACATGGTATGTGCCTCAGGACTCAGCTTGTAAACTTTATATTGTTTGCCACTATATTTGGCTGATTTGCTGCGTTTCCCAAATATTTCTGCTTTGCAGTATCATCACTTACACTGGAATATCAGTTTCTTCCTATTACAGTACCAAGCTTTTTAAAAACGACCCACTGTTTCATTTACAGAGCCGGACGGTATGGCTGGTCATGACTCTACCCTAATGACTGAGAGTCAGTTGGTGGGTCCAACACTTTATACCATACTAAACTGTTTTTAATGGACACTCATGTTGCAATAAGATAAAGCCTACAGGGTTAGGGTTGTGTTTATTTGCACTGTGCTTTCTAAAGTGTGTAAGTGTGTTATAAAATACAAACTTAATCTGAGCCACAAATTGTGACAAAGACAAAAAAAACAAAAAACAAACAAACTCAGTGATCAAACTTCTTGTACTGCATCTTACATTCAGCTGTGTCCTGCATATCCTATTGTATGTACACAAAAAAGGGAAATGTTCTATTTACAAAGTCAAATGACACTTTAGCAGCCAAAACATGTTTTTTTTTTTGCTTTTTGAGACGTTTCCTGCAGTAATCCTTATGGCCGCTGTGTCTGACAGCTCACCTAAATCCAGGGTTCACCTCTTATCAGTCTGATAACTTGAGCAGTGCAGTAGGGCACAATGACATCACCAGCTGGAGAAAACACTGACAGCTGCGGAGACGCGACTGCTGAACCCGTAAACCACTTGGTTCGGGAAGAAGTGCGTTTAAGTTTAGAAGCTCAGACGTGATATGAGAGTCATAAATATTCTCAATATTTAGCGAAGGAAAAGGTTAATGAGAATGTAATTTAATCAAACACTGACATGCACAGCTAGCAGCGAGAAATCTGTGTCCCATTTTTAGAATACAAAAATAGCCACAGTTCAGCGCTCCAGTTCTCAAACTGTAGATAGAAAGAATGAGCGTGGTAATCATTTAAGTCGTTTATTAAGCAAAAACAAATTCCATGTGCTTCCTTTCCCCGTTTCACATGACTGTAAACTGAATATTTAACTTGAAAATGACAGTCTGGACTTGGAGTGGACTGGAATAGCGATTAGTATCTGTCTGATTTCTTTATACGCTCCAGTCACATGAAGGCTAGACCACAACGTCGATCACCAGGTGGTTTTTTCTTCTCCAAGCTGTCAGCTCGAGTGAGTCATCTCTCTTATCAGCAACTCTTAAGTTATTCAGCCTACAGAGGATTCAGCTGATATTCAACATTTAATATACTCACAGTTAGCGTGGGGGGTGCTAAAAATCACAGAAGGGTGAAAGTTGCAATATTCAAGATCAAAAAAATGAATCTTCAAATTTTGTAGCTTTGGTTTAGATTTCTGTATAGAAAAAAAAAAAGAAAAAGGGACTGAATCATTCTCCGGTGCTGCTGCTGACCTGCATGGTTCAGGTTAGTTGAAGTTTTGTGACGATACAAACTGGGTGTCTGCATGAGTCACCTGAACGCTGTGCGATCTGATCACGGTCCTCACCTTCATCAACAGCCTCCTTATCAGGGTCCAGAAGTCCATACAGGAAGTGCTGGGTGAGGTGACTGATTTTTGTTTTTTAACAGTTGAGTCAGAGAGAGCAATGTTTTTAGATTTCCTCTGGGTTTTAGGGATGAAAAATGTGTGCATTTAATTCAGTTCGTGCCCCAGTAAGCATTCCTCACCAGTCCGTGGCTTGCGTGTGGTCTAGTTTTCCTTTTTCTTGCTGTTGGATTGTCCCGCAGGAACAGGTTTCATAAAATAAGCAGGGTTTGTGTGGCAGCGCAGGGCCAGCAGCGCCGGTGCAGCAGCGAGCAGCGCATTGAGAGCGATAACAGGCAACCGTTTGTCTGCTGGGACTCGGTACGTGAAGGGAGTGCGGGAATGCAGAGATGCTCCGATATGGCACCACTGGGTCTGGAGGGAACAGCGAGTGAGGGGGAGGGAAGTCAACATGAAGCTTTCCATTTTTCCTTTTGTTTAAACAAATATTAATCACAGCACGAGATGAGAAAACTACAATTACCTGAGCCATGGCGCCGGCAACGAAGATGGTCCAGTCCAACATCCAGCTACATCCAGGTGTTTTCAGACCGTAGATGAAGACCGTTAGCAATGGCAGTGCATAGAATAAGTACACGAGCATCTAAAGGAATTGTGCACCAAACAGTTAAACAATAAACTACATATTATATTAGAGTTAACTCAGTTTCTGAGTCTTCGGTCTCCAGACTCACCATAACCCTGGGAAAGCCAACGGGGTCTTTGAGGTACGGCTCATACTGATAGATGTAGGTGAAACAGGTGTCCAGAGAACAGTCCAGCACTACCTGCAGCACAACACGAAGAGAGTTAAGACTGGAGCGCGAACAGAAGCGCAAGTACCGACACGCAGAAAAGGTCTTGTGATGTTTCACTTACAAAGCCTCTAAACACGGAGAAGGCCATGGATCCCAGTAACAGCAGTGAGAGAAGCAGGTCAATGGGTCGAAACAGCAGACTTTTCTTCTGCTCTGCAGCGATCTGCTCGACACAGAAATGTTCACAGTTGATGTTGGTGCTGTTCATTTTACACCGTACAGGTTATTTTCACACGGGCATCGGAAAACTGAACGTGTCTGGAGATTACCCAGCGGAGCTGCCTGTGAGAAGACAAATGTCTAACACAGTCAAACTGGATATTAAAACAGCTCTCAAACTGCCTGCTCCCCAGTGGGAAGCCTGTGTGATGTCCCACTGAGCTCACGTGGGAATAAAGAATGTAACTGTGTGGAAAATTCACAGCAAGCAAGAGGGTGTTACGTACCCTCCAGCACCTCCTGAACCTAACAGAGTTTTTCCAAGTACTAAAAATGCATTTCAGGTGGAATAAATATTATTGTGGGTACAAGTTAAAAAGGCCAACTGTGAAGAAATGTCCCCAAATGATTTTTCTGACACCATCTGGAGTTCATATGCAAAAACAACAATTTTCTTCTCCCAACTTACATACATACACACACTTTTTTAAAGTATAATTTAATGTCATTTGGATCCTGTTCTATTCAAATTTAAATCAGTCTGTCACTTATGTAGCACCAAATCACAACAACACTCCACTCAAGGTGCTTTATATTGTGAGGTAAAGACCCTAGAAACCCATGAACCATAACAGAGAGAAAACCCCAACAATCAGATGACATCACACGATCCACAAAGGTGCATATCAGGTTAACTGATGAGTCTCAGTTGGGTGTGAGCATGAGTGGGAATAGTCTGTCTCTGTGCTAGCCCTGTGTCCCAGTGTACCCTGCCTTTTGCCCTATGACAGCTGAGTTAGTCTCCAACCTTGAGCATGACTCCTAATTAGAAAGGTGGCTACAGAATTTTAAAGTTTAATGCACTACAATATGCACAGATATGTAAGCTGTAACCAGATTCTGGCTAGACTACTCTCGGAGTATATGGTGTATAATGAACACATCCTAAAAGCGAGAACTTTTTACCTTATCTGCTGTGATGACTTGCATCTCTCTGGGTCTGCTAAAGAGCAGCGAGGCTGCCCAGAAAGGTGCCAAAAAGAAGGGGATATTCCTCCAAAACGCTGGTCGAATGTTGGACCCATACTTGCCTGAACAAATGAGAACTTCATCAATACACGTGGTCACAAACAACTGCGCCGATCTGACCAGACTGTGTTCATGCTGCTCTCACCAATGACCACTCCTGGGATGTGAACGATCTGATGAGCGATGGAGGAGCCTGCCCACAGCAGGCCCAGGCTACGATACGACTTCCTGCACGACAGAAAGTCAGAGGTCTCACTAAAGCACAGACATGAGAGACTGTGACGGCAAAACCTACCCAGAGAACATGCGGTGGATGATAACGAGGAAGAGGATGAAGTGAACGATGCCCTCCCAGTAAGACATCATCAATGCATAGGCAGTGGTTAGATGAGGCTCACCCTGAAGGGAAAGAAACATCCAAACTTTAACATTTAAACTTATGAAGTAAAAAAAACCCCAAAACTGATCAGTCTTGGAGAGAAAAGCGAGAGGTTACCATTTTTATGTAGAAGCCCATGAAGCCAGAGATGAACCCATCCTGCTCTAAAGCATTGGTCAGACCCACCAGGCAGGTGAAGGAAAACTCTGCGAACACTGCAAACATAGAGAGAAAGAAAGAGAAATAACAACCGTCCACCTGGACTTTACTCATTTATATGAAAGCATGTGTTAGTGTGACTGTACCATAGAACAAAGGGTCCACTTTGGCCTTGTGCCGCACAGTGAGGAAGAGGAGGAGAAGCACAGACCCCAGGATGACCGCTCCCATCCCCAAGATAACCAGAGGTCTGAGGACGAGTTCAGACACAACAAAGTTATTCTGGAGAACATTAACCAGTAAATCAGGATCGACGTAGATAATTAATTCTCTCTAAGCTGCTTTATTATAAAACGACAAGTCTTTGTATAAAACTTAAACTTCATTTTGTGCTTTATAAAAATTAACTCAAGATCAGTGACGATCGACGAGACTTTAAAATGATCTAATTTTGCGAAATATCGCAGCTTTCGCCACAAAAGGAGGACGTTTAGATAGAGGGTTCAAAAAGATTAACATTTCTGTTACTTGATTATTTTCAAAGCTTTCTCGGCTCTTTAATTGCCAGTTTCTCTTTGGTGAAATTCAAAAGCTCGGAGCAGTGTGGGGATGTAACACTGATTGATTAACGCTCATTATCGTGGGCGATATAGCCTTACACTCCGTTAATTTAGATTTAGGCCTACGTTTTAAGACTTTATAACGGATCTCTTAAGTTCACAGCATTAGATTTTCCAGCCTTGGTGAATCTTTTTTTTCTCCTCTGGGTAAACACGCCCTTTTCCCTTCAGGCTGTGGGCCGCTTCATAAGCCTAATATCGGCGGCTTTACCATGCCTCCACACAACAGGCCGAGATTAGATTGAAATGATCCGACTACACACACACTTACTCCTGAAGCGCTGGGATGTTGTTCATTGTGTATAAAACTCCAGGTGCCAGAAGAGAAAGGAGAAAAACGCTGATTTCCGTCGGTGGCCTCATTCTTGTAAACGTGTTGTTTGGTCTCTATGGTGAACCTTAAAAATGTTCCACATAAAAAAGAAATCTGTCCCTCCTAAGCACGTTTCAGAGCTGTGCACCGAGTCATGTTAAAGCAGCGCCCTCTGCGCTGCCGCTGAACGCAGGAGATGATTTAAAGCAGCGTCACGTTGCCTTTTGATCTGTGATGAAACCTTCAGCGCCAATAAGCCTGCAGCTGTCCTGCAGGTGTCAAAGTTCACCTCGGGCAGGAGGCACCTCTAATGAGAGAACATTTAAAGGGAGAGTAATGCAAAGTTCAGATAACGGACCGCTGAATCGCCCATCATGCGCAAATATCGCTCTTTTCCTTCACGTTTTTCATTAAATTCTCTGATCTGTCATTAAATGCGTCTTTTAAAACATTCACTCAGTCTTTGTACAGACTGCCACCTGGTGGAGGACGATTCCCCATGTCAGTGTTTCACATAGCTTCTGTTTCTTTGTAAAGCACTGCCTCATAAAGCTCATTGTGAAGAATGCCTACACCTGCGTTACACAACACCATCTCATGGATGAACAAGGGTGGGTAAAGCAGGTCTACATCCAGCGCACCCTTATCTTCTGTAACAAAGCTGCTGAAGAGGATTATGCTGCTGTTGCCTCAGAAACTTAGTCACCAGTGGAAAGAGAGCACAGAGAGGGGTGGGGAGTCCACGCAGAGAGTAGAAACAGACAGGCAGGCGATACTACTGCTACAACCCTTCACACACACACACACAGCACCAGCTTTTTCTTTCTTTCTTTCTTTTTTTTAGGCTGACACAGATTTTTTCTAAAACCTGCCACCATGTGGCACCCTTTGATTATCGGCATCATGACAGTGAACACCTCTCTAACCGTCTTCTACTGGGCCTTCATCCTGGGCGATGCTTACCACAAGTGGCTGATGGAGCCAGAAGACAAGCCCAAGAAGGTGGTCACCCCAGCTTGAGGGAGCCAGTATGGATCTACCTGAATGAGTGACTGGATGTTATTTGCTTAGGAATACTCTGCTCAGCTAGTAGTGCTTACAGTGAATTTCTGCTTCTTTTTTTATGTATTCATTTTTTTTTTTAACTGGAAAAGCCTTGGATTCCTGTTTTGAACTGAAAAAATAACCTAAAGCAATCTGCAAGTTGATGAGAAGAATCATTCTTACAGGTAAAGTGTCAATTTATCTTAATATTTATTTCGCATCATTTTATTGTGTTTTAGCTACATTTGTTGCTTGCAGTGTGAATCAACACACACACACACACACACTTCACACACCATCCGCAGGCAACAGGTCCTTCAGGTGACACTAAATGAACCGTTTAAGCTTTCTGCTGACTCGGTGAAAAGGTTTTGTTGGTGACAGTGGCATGAGTCAAGCAAATCCTGTTAGGATTACTAAACTACTAAACACCACCTCTAAACTGGCACAGTTGGTGTTACTTTCGTAACAGCTTCATCCTGAGACACATTCAGAAACCCTCGTCTCATCTCTCGTTTGCATCTCTCCTGAAAGCTTATTTTTCACTCTTCCTCCTTTTCCTTTTTCTCTCTATTTTATTTTATTTTTTACATCTCTCCACAACATGTCGCACGTCTTCTACTGGGGTATGCACCCAGTCTCTTGGTTCATTCTTTTCGCCAATATAGCCGTAACGGTCATTGAATGGAAGTTTCTTGCCTCTCAGTTTTACAAACTTAACTGGAAAAAGGAAGAACAACAAGCCAATGCCTAAAATCCTGGTGGAAACCACATCCACATCCTGATGCTGCACTGAGAATATTTGTGAGGATAAAAATATCTCTCTCCATATATATATATATATATATATATCACCTGTTTACCTGCCCACATGTACAGAAAAAACAAGATTGTGTAGCTTTAGGCTTGTTATGAAAGGGCAGCCACTATGCAACGCTAACCTTATGCTGTGTTTTTGTGGTTATTTCCAGAGCTGCTTCTGTACAGTTCACCCCAGAATTCAAAAACAAAAAACCAGAGGAATCGTCTCAACTCTTTGCTGCAGGCAAGTTCATTTTCTTTCCCTGTGACACTCCAATGCAGTGCTGTCTTCCATGTCATCTGTGCCATTTTCTCATCTTTTGTCATATGAATGGAGCTGCTCTCTGGCTCTTTATCATTTTTACAAGAGTCATTTATAAAGAAAAATACGTTAAGATGTGCACCTTTTCTACCTGCAATGATATCATGCTCTGTTAGGGAGCAAGAACTCATTCATGAAAGCATTGTTTCATGTTAGTGAATTATGTGACATGTCACAAGTGCCAAATTGTGTATAAGATCATTTGAAAGTATCTATAAAGTGATGCCAGTCTGGACCTGAGTGAAAGTGGGTTCACTGTAATATACATATCATATCTTTATGCAAGGGGGACCATAAGCCTCTTTGGCATATTACTGTCCACCTCTCCTCGCTCATATCTCTAATCCCCACAGATGGAAAGCTGATATTGCTCTATGACAGACTCAATCCTATTAACTCCGTCTGTCCTACATTCACTTCTCCTCTGTCTCGCTCTCCTGGACCGAAGACCCTCTGTGCAAAAGATGAGAATGAGGAATTCTGGGATTCAAGTCTAGACCAAAGATTAGAAGAATTGGCACATGGGTAGTATCAGGCTTTACTTGTCAGCTGAACTACATTTCTGTAGAGCCATTTTGTGACAGGGAGCTGTCACTGCTGAGAAACAGTACTCTCAGTTTCAAACCATCCGCACATTTCCACCTGTCACTCATCCTTCCGACACCCAGAAGATGTTGAAAATGTTCTAATGCTTAGTTTGTTTCCCTCCTCCGCCTCCTCTTCCTCCTCCCTGGTGCACCTGTATCACCTGTTCTCCAAACATTCACAGTGCAGGAGTGAAGGAGCGCAGATCTGCAACAAGACAATAAATCTGTCATCACCCAAAGAAACAGCCCCGAAGCTTCAACGCTTTCTGTGAGCTGACAAAACCATAAAAAGAGTTTCAAAAACCGGCCAAGACAAAACATGAACCGGCAACCAAATGTGTCCCTGAACGCCTCAGGAGGAGCTCTGATTTCAAACTTCACACAGTCTGCGTTTGAGCTCCCGCAACTCCTCCAGCTGTCTAGAAGGAAGGAGGAGGAGGAGGAGGTGTATTTTGTGGACTACATCCCCCCTGCGAGAGATGCTATAACTCTCCCACCCAATGTAGTCTATGTAATAGTTGGGGTGGTGGTGATCATAGTGGCCACCTACGCCATAGTGGGACACCTCATTGATGACCTGTTGCATGACCTGGCAGGTAACCCCAGGTGGACACATCCTGAACTGATGCCACCGTGTCCACTCTGGCATCTGTGTTTGTGGTGTCCTTTCTGTCCCTGAGCTCTCGTGAATCAACTTTTGATCTTTTCCTTGTTTTGACGACAGTTTCCTTCATGTTCACCCTCTGGTTTGTGGATAGGATAACCTTCCCAGTGGTGTCTGTTATTCTTTTAAGGTGAATGTCAACAGCTGATCAAATGGCTGCTAAAAAAAGCCATCTTAAGGGGGCGGTCAATGTTCAATTTGTGCAATTCCACAAAGTTCCTGCTTTGGCTATTTAATAACCCCCCAAAAGAAACAGCATCCTCTATGCTGCAGTTTGTCATGCATGACATGACAACTGAAGTGAATCTAAACCCGGTGCAATGCCCCTTTAAAAGATACACAGAGAAGACATAAAAATAAATCATTTTAATTCATTTCCAACATGTTTCCTCTTACAGACTGGATATTTGGCCCCAAACCAGTGGAGGATGATTCAGAGGGAGGGGATGCAGAAATAGAGGAAGAGAGGCGACTCAGCGTTTCCAGCAAGCTGTTGGAGAAAGATGAGATCAGAATGGAGGAAGAAAAAGAAGGCCAGCTGCCTGGTTTCCACCAGGGAGACGCAGGCCGCTGTCGTCCATCCACCCCTCCGCTGAGAAGCGCCATTGCTTCGTCATACCCTGGAGAAAAAAGGATTTCCACACATAGCGTGACCTTCGCCTGCCCCGTGGCCCCTTACGTCACTTCCCTTTGAGTTTTTTCATCACAGCAGTTTTTATTACGTCTTAATCACAGTGCAGTGATCAGTGATGTCCTCGCTGTAGTGATGCAGAGGCTGAGGCACTCTTGTTTTATGCTGGTGTTATAGTTAGCATGCAAAAAATGTACAAGAAAATGTTGTTAGTAAGCACGATCCATACTGTCAGTCTGTTTCTACTGCACCATGCTGAAATTCGCTGTCCAGCTGCTCGTGGTAAAAACTGTAAACAAATTAAGTTTCAAGTAAAAATATCAGTTATGTTAATAACTTAACTTTACATCTAAAAATGTTCATTGGAAACACACTGTGTCCAGTTCGTCCACAAGGCTAGACAGAAAGTGTTGTGAAATTGCAAAATCAAAAAGACCTGTCATGTTACATGTGCTTGTAATGTGTTTCTAAAGAAAACGTACATCACTTCTCCTGGTGTTGGACTAAGCTTCTCCCCAATAAACAACTCAATAATACACGCTCGTTCCTCCTGTCTTGTCTGCTTTCATTAATCCATCTTACCTTCTCCTAATACCTGCTTGTGCCCAGGGTGATGACCTTGTTTATAAATGCAGAGGATTATTGCACTTGAGCATATTAAATACAGCTGAGTGATGTAAGATAGATAGATAGATTTCTACAGAGAGAAAAACAGGAATCTTGTTCACATGAGATACAGCTTTGCATTTATTTTAAATCTTACTTTAGCAGTCATTAGTCATAAGGCTGATCAGCTGTGAATTAGAGGATCTTCACAGCTTCCTTGATTCATGCAAAGAGTTTCATTCACGATTTCCTGAATTTTGAGTAATTTTGCTGTTGTTACAATGCTGACATTGGAGAATGTGATATTTCCTCCTGATCTCTTTGTATTTTGCACAGAACGTTCTGTGCGATTAAATCTTTGTGCCGGCTTCTTAATACAGCGATGACCCACAGATATTAACTGGACTCGCAGGCTGACAGCAGAGGCAGCCAGACTGCAATGGACAGCTTAAACGTTCGTCACAAAGAGGAAGATGGCACAGTGTTATTTGAGTCATATATCCCTCCTTCTCGGGATGCTATCCACCTGCCCACCTACGTCCTCTACTTGCTCATAGCCGTCTTCATCGTGTTTTCGGTTCTCTACGCCATCACGGGCCACCTCATCAAAGACCTCATCCATGACTGTGCAGGTTTGTTACTGTACCGCT